TTTACAAGATGAATCAGTTTAAGAGCAGATTGTTGTGAGAGAAACAAGGTTATTATATGACAGCACCAGCTGCTCTATAAAGACACAGACTTTGTCTTATCCTCTAGTTACCTCAAGCTGCCATGTCCAGTGGGCAGTGATCTTAGTCTGATAGACCCCACTGACCTGTGCATCAGTCACTATAAAGTCATAGTGTGGAGCCAAATTTGATTCAAACCATAAACAGTATGAAAAGATGGCTGACATAATTGCTTCCCAAAAGTGAAGCCAAATCGTCTTGATCGCCACCTGGGGGATGGTTGCAGTATAGGTCATAAATCCTGCCTCCTCCATATATACGTCATGGACTGAACTGATAAGTCAAAGAAGTCATCATATAATTTTTATATACAGCGTATGGTTCAAACTACCAGAACTATATTTCAAATTCTCATGGAGATTTGGACATTTCCATTAAAACCGCTAATAATATAGTTATATGTCTCTTTCAGAAAATATTGTATATATTTGTACTTTTAAAATAATTTTTGTGTTGATGAGTCAACATGGATCTATGAGACAATACAGGGAGATTAGTCCACTGAAGGTTAAGCACAAGTCGTAGAGGAAGCCACGTGATTCAGCTGCTGTGGTCAAAGGTCAGATGGTCGGCACACTAAATAATGAGAATTGACATAGAATGAGGTCACACATGTAAATGTCAATATGTCAATATTATAGTGATTCTCTGAGCGTTTTGTCTTTTTAAAAATCTCCCTTGAAAAATGACCCTCGATCTTTCTCCCCCGGGAAAGGTTTTTAAGAAGTGTTTAGAAAATCCAATACATTGAAAGGAGGACAGTGTATAAATGGAGCTCATTATTTCTGTGTGGGAATATAATAAAAACACAAACATAGATTCTAATTTGCATGAGAGTGCCACTCCAGTAAATAATTTTCCCCAAAGAATACATTTTTCCCTTTGTGAACATCGCTCATGCATGAGCTGAACTGTTTCAGCTGGGTCAATACTACAAAAGCCTCACAAGAGCATGAATCAATGTCATTTTGCTTCCTTTTTGTATTGACCAGAGATTCACACGCATACACAGAGCAAACAACACATTAATATTCAAAACAGACACTGGGTGAACTTGTGTCTGAAATTAAACAGCTCATTTCAGGAGCTGTGCTAAAGGAGGAAATGCTTTCCTGATGCTTATAAACACCCCAAAGAATCACAGCAACGAAAGCCATGAAAGTACACGTGTTGAGGAGGAGGAGGAAAATAAATGCACCTCGACGCATTGACATTTAGATATAATGAAAACAGTCAATGGGAGTTTTTATCAGCGTCAAGCGGACAGAGTGTAAAAAGTGCAGCCATGTTTGTGTTTCGACTTGTGAGGCAGTTGAGAGCAGAAGTGTTACAGTTATGCCCAAAGGGGTCAGAATGCATAGAGCTACCACGACAAAGTGTGCCACTCTTATTCAGCATTGACGGGATAATGTGCAGGCTCTCTGCCTCTGGCGGCTAATGGCTACAGCACTGGTGTACAATGGCCACATGGAGGGAGAGAAGCGGTTTCAGTTGATGAGGGGATAAGTGAGCTCGGAAGGAAAGAATACGATCCTTTGTTGTGTAAAGCTGTGCAAACAGACGTGCAGTATCTCTGTGCTGCACTTTGGGCTTTTTTGTGGATTTTGAATTGCAATGAATCTCTGTTTTTCAAATGCCACGAGAGAATAATAATCCAAATCAGGGCCTTTCACACTGGCTGTTTATTCTCTATCTTGGAGCAATTGATTCACATATTTTGTCCAATGAACATTTTTCTGAAGCTGTCTGAGGAAAGTTTGAAGTGATGGCCTGAAGAAACAACAAAAAATCATTAGAGATAACATTATAGTTACTGTTGATTTGCTGACTTAGTAGATAGTCACATTCTTTTCTGCGTGTTCATTTCGTATTTTCTTATTTTGTAAAGGTTTGATAATATTTAGGTAGAAACTTTAAAATAAGCCCACTAGGTTTTCTGCATCTGGTATTATTAGCTTATTTGCCTTTTTTTGTGTGTTTGGTTTTTTAATCTGTACGAAATGAAATAAAACATGGTCATAAAGTCCAACCAATTATTTAAATCCAGCAACATACGTGTTTTAGAATCTGGTCATCCTGTTGATTTGATGACTTTTCTCTGAGTCCTCCTCTTTTTCTGTCTGTATGGAAGTTGTTTTGCACAGCTCCAGGTACCCACATACACCAACTTCTCTTAATTTCTGATCCTTGGTTTGTCGGGGGGAAGACGTTCCAGGCAACAAATCATATGCCCCCAACTAACATCTTCTATCATATCACAAGATCCGACAAATAAATCACAATATGACTTTTATTCAGTTGAGGCACAGCAGAGGCGACTCACTAAACCACGGTTGTTCACTTTTATTTTATTCTCTTCTCACCTGTGGGTTTTTTTGTGTTTGCAATGTTCACTTGTATTTGGAATGTCTTGTTTGCACTTTTTATTCTTCTATGCAAATTCTAAATATGTTGTAGGTTTCAGTGGGTGAAACCAAAATGAAAACATTTACATGTATACTGAGTTAAAAGTAATAGTAGATTATGTTATGCAGCTGTACATTTGTGATAAAAAAGGCTTATATATTTAGTTTCCTATTGTATTTTTCCTTATGTCTCATACAGATTTCGAAGAATGGCACCCAATTATCTTTCTGTTGGTTTGGTTTATTTATTCGTATATTGAGGGAATTTAGAAATATAAGGTCATGTGGCTGACAAAATGTCTTGTGTTAGTGTGATAAACCAGAGACACACTTCAGTCTCACCATGACCAAAGATAGACTCTGAAAACACTTTCTGTTTGGTCTCACTCCTAAATAACCTCCTCTCTCTGCACTCTGATACATGGAGATACAGCATGTGGCTGGATTAGGGGTGCTGTGATGGTAGTTGAACAGAAAATGCTACTCAGTGTAGCGGTTCCTATTTATTTTTATTTATTTTTGGCCTTGTGTGGAGCGTGATAAGAACCATCCGTGAGATGATGATAACCACTGTTGTATTAATTTCAGCTCTGCTCCTCTGACTGATCCAGGCACCAAAACTCGTCTCCTGCCAAAAGATCATCTGCAATATGTGCCGCCAGCTACTCTGCAGTTTCGACACCAGTTTGATCATCTGTTCTGAATGTGAAATGCTGCTCACTCTAAATTTTCACCTTGGGGGCCTCTGCCAAGCCACCGGTCACGACGCCTCTCGTCGCTCCGCCTCCCCTGGTGTCAGCGTGTGCGATAGACTTTCTGTCTGTGTCATTCTGTTATTGTGCATGTGTGTATTTTTGAATATAGCCGGGGGGGTCAGTGTGTACACTGTATTTGTGTGTTAAGTATGCACCAAGCATACATTAACATCCTCTCAATGTCAATGACTCCTCCTAGACAGTAAAGTCAGTGAGCCACTGATGGACCTGCCATAACTGTCCCTGTGAGGCACTGCTGTGTTTGTGTGTGTGTGTGTGAGTGTGTGTGTGTGTGTGTGTGTGTGTGTGTGTGTGCCTGAGACAAGGTGACACAGGAAACAGCCCTCTGCTGATGACTGATGGCCACAACCCAACTTTCCTGACCTCACTTATGTTTGTTCACTCCGGTGGAGGTGACTGTCATTATGTGACAAAAATATGTGAAGTCCAGACTAAACACAAAGTGAGGATGCTCACTGAGCAACTCTGACTGTGATTGGTTCTTTCTAGTTTCTGTGTAAACACATCTCACTTCACTGAAATGAATGGACATTAAGGCCCAGGCTTAGGACACATCACTCAACACACACTGTCCAGAATAGTTGCCCCTCCATGCCTCCACCTGTGTTTACACTGTGAACAGAGGCCACTGTTGCCAGGAGCCAGAGGCCGTCCTCAGCGTCTCCAGACACTCATCTTGTCCATGCTGAAAAATGACTGCAAGGAGGCTTTGTGACACATAATGAGCAGAATGGGTCTTTATTGGTTTCAAGGAGGATTTTTCAGTCACATTCTGTAAATAAATAAAGCCTGAACAAAGGCAGAGTCCTCAGGGAGCTTGTTTATCACATAAATTACACAAGTGCTCATCCAGGATTCACAGTATTTGAAAAGGGGGCCATGAGGTTTTTATTAATTTTTCCTGATGTTCTTGTCTGGCTGGCTTTGAGTGTGAATAATTTCTTCTTCTTCTTGTAATTAAATATGAGGGCTCACCTCCGAGACTCCCTACCTCCTCTACACCAGAGAGGCTCTGGAGGGTACTGTACATGTGCGTGCATGATCACACATGCAGTCAGAAAACACACTTTATGCGAACACACACTTCCACACACACATTTGAACAATGATCACTCTCTCGCAAAAATCATAAAAAGATCACAACTGCTGCCCCAGGGCCAGTTTTCATACAGACCCAACGGTGGAGCACGCTTTTGTGTGAATGAACAAAGGGAAACTCCTTTCCCCTCCCTAAATCCCATCATGTGCCACCATGCGTCTCCCACACGCCTGTTTCCAAGTTACCGGCAGCGCCGGCTGCCAATCCTGCTTAATTGCCTCCTGTGTAAAGTGACGGCTGAGGAGCGGCGATGAGAGCAAGCTGTCCTTTCCCTGCAGCCCCCTCTCTGCTACCTCTCCAAAGAAGAGACTCCACCTGAGAACCATACTGTACCTTTGAGAAATCACACAGTAGTGCTGACCCTGAGTGAAACTTCAACAACCAACGTACAGACTCACTGCATGAAAAATAAATATCGGTCGAATGTAAGAAATTCTGAGAAAGAAGCTGCTCTCAATTAAAGAGGACTGCTCCACGAGGACATTTAATTTAAGCCTTAATATCTACTTAGGGATGTAAAGCACATGCATATGAAATGCTTTGAATGGGAAATGTATTGTCAGACATAACAAAGTAAAGATCAGAGGGTGAACCAATAACAACAGTGTTTGTTTTAGCAGTAAGTGCTTTTCCTCACTAACCTTGTTCGAGCCTGGAGAAAAAGAAAAAAGATCTTCTCGCTCACTCCTGTTCGGATAAATTCACCACCCTGTTGCTCCTTGTTCTCTCCTCCTTTGCTGCGTCTTCCTCACAAATAGATCCTCCTCATCCTCGGGACCGGGGACTGGAATTAACGGCACATGAGGGAAGCCAGGCGGAAGAGAAGGAAAGAAACACACTCTTCTTGCACCAGAGTCCTCCTTGGCAGTGTATCCCCATCCGTCTAAGCACGGCGACTGAGAGGGAGAGAGGGAGAGAGGGAGAGAGGGAGAGATGAAATGATACTGAGTAAGTGGGTGAGTGAGAGAGAGAGGGAGAGCGAGCTTGTGTGTGTGTGCACTGGAGGGTGATCCTCTCTACTGTATGAGCTCCTGTTTATCTCTCTGTCTGTCTGCTTTGCATGCATTCCTTCCCGACAGAAGCCACAGGGTCAGCTGCTTTTACAGTAACAACACTTGCTTATTTCCTCTAGAGAGAAAAGACTTCCTGTTATCTCCACTCAACTTCCATCATGAGTGAAATCGCCCGGCATTTCATGCTTTTTTATCATCCTCTCTTTCTCTTGTGCACACATACACATAATCTCCCTCTCTATTCCTGTCCAGAGGTTATTCCACAAGCAGTGGGCTGCAATTTCATTTCAGAGATGAACAGATTTATAAGCAAAAAACACAAGCAGTCCTTCCCATATTCAGTAGAGGCAGATGCAGTGTGCATGCATTAAGAACAAAACTGTAAAATAAACTGTATAAAAATGACGTAATCATGGTGCATATATGCAGCATGTCGTACTTGTGAATATGGTTTTGCAGGATGTGGTGTTTAACTGTTTAAGTGTAAGAATATGTTCAGTGGCAGCTAAATAAAATTAGAAACAGAAATAAATACCAACAGTTTCACTGTAGAGACAAAGCTAACTAATGTTTACCTTTGTCATACACACTCAGTGAGCACATATATAATAATAACTGTTGTGCACCTGCTAATTCATGTAATTATCCAATTAGCCAATCACGTGACAACAGTGCAATGCATCAGATCACACAAATACCAGTCAAGAGCCCAACTCGTGAAACATTAGAGTGGGGGAAAATATGATTTCAGTGACATGATTGTTGAATTGAGGATGTTTTAAGAGCAAAGGGTATTAATAGTATGGTGTTCATAAAAAAAAAAGAATATGATGGTAAAATAAATATCTCAGGGTTTAGTTGATAAAACACAACAATTTCCCTTAATGGGTATTTGCCCTCTGTTATGTTGTACCAAAAGGATAAATCCATTAGGGAAGAAAACTCAGATTAACTGATAATGAGAATAACGAGGCCTAACAGTCCACTTAAAGTCAATCAAGCCACACCAAATTCCACAAACTCATAGATTTTAAGTTTGCCTGATTTTTTGTTTATGTTACAATGTTAAAGAAAGTGAAAACAATTTCCTGGATCTGCCCCTTTAATTAGTTTTAATAAGATTGGTTCCGTAGTTTAATCCTGTTAAAGGTCTAAGATTTAGGTGAAAGGGATCTATTGGCAGAAATTGAATATAAAATAATTCTAGTGATGTTTTCACTAATGTTTTTCATCTAAATTGTATGAATGGTTGTTATCTTTACCCTAGAATGGCCCCTTTATATTTAAATACTTTATATTTACATAGGGAGTGGGTCCTCTTTCTAGTGGCCGCAGTCGTCCAGACTGAACAAAATAAGTACATTTTGAGTTTTTATGACAACTGAAGTCTTCCACAGGGTCGTATTCAGCTGCAACATGCAACTTCACCACTAGATGTCACTAAATTCGACACACTGAACCTTTAACAGACAGACAAACAGCAATGAAAACATAGCCTCCTTGTTGGAGATAAAAATATGTTTTGTAAGTGGCGACTTGAAAGTGTCAGCACAGCCTGAGTGCTGTATGGAATAAACTGTGATATTTTTTTCTTTGCTCGGCTGGTTCCTGATGTGACATGGCAGCCAGAGAGTTGAGGTGTCCCCCTGAGTACGGTGTGTATTGGGTCAATATGCACAAGAAGCAGTGGATCAATCGGGTTACACGTATCAGTGAAAGGTGATTCAGGGGCTAACCTGACAGCTTCCTCAATTATGCTGATAAAGTGTCAAAATGTCATGAATCACACAGACTAACACGCACACCATAGGCAGAGGGACAGCAAAGCCTCAGTCACACCACCAGATGATGTGATGGAGAATATTTAGAAGAAAATGAAGGTTTGACCATATGGCAGTGTCATCTTCACACTGCACGTTTGCCCGCTGACAAAGCGGACAAGAGGTGATTCCACGGTGCACTGCGGGTGCTGCGGGTGCTGCGCCATCTTGGTTGGCGGGTGATGCTCCACGACACATGGTCTCACGCGGCAAGAGGTCGGAGCTCTGATAAAGGCCATTTTCAGTCAGAGGAAGGTGGGCTGACCGGGAGGCCTCAGGCACGTTGTGTGAGGACCGGGCCACATTATGTTCAGCCAGGGGGAAAGGATGCAATATAATGTGTCCTTTGAGTGTGTATTTGTGTCTTTGCATGTGGACGTTGTGAATGCTGCAGGAAATTCTTGTAACTAGTCATAGCTTGTCATCTCCGAATCCACACATTCATCCACACACCATCTTTAGTGCCGTTCTCACTTTGTGACCAATATAACATAAACACAAACACACACTGAGTGAGATAACCGGCCTGAAACGTTTTTAATAAATAACCTCACATTTGCTTTTCATGCAAACTAAAAAAAAACATACATTTTAAAATAAACATGAAACCATCACAAAACCATTGCTGGAGTTGTTGTTTTTATTTAGAGTGCTCACCCAAAGTGCCAGATTGTAAATATTACACATTTCCCTTATAATTCTTATGAAATATTGAGTGGCTTGAAATGTACTCTGGAAATTAGGTCATGAGAAATGAATGCAAAGCAGGGAAGCAGCATGGATTGTTTACTGGCAGCACTTAGTCACAAGATAACGTCTGTGATGACTGTAAATCAGACAGTGTACTGTTCATGCTGTAAGTAGATCAGACGTTTTCTCCTTTTTTAATTTGCAGCAGCCAGACAAAGGTTTCCCTCAAGGTGTAAAGCCATAGAGTAGAACATGTCGGTGATGATGCTGAGGTACAGGGTGGTGTTCATGACAACCTCCACGCTTGAACTGCCTTCCACTCAGCTGGGCTCTTTAATAATACAAATGGTTGTGAGCAGGGAGACATGCATCACCTCCATCACACCTGTAGACCTGCACCTTCTTACAGACAAAAGTAAAAATGAGCTACCTCAGTTCCTTTCTCTGTTTCTGATCGCCGCCCCCTCCCTCCCTCCTCAGAGAGATTCAGACGATAGCAGTTTTTTTCTGTCGACTTCTCCTTTTAGCCAAGCTCCGGGAGATTGCTTTGAATCTTTTTTTGGTAGGCTCCGTAAATGTAGAGGATCAGCTTACACAGTCCACCATTAAACCTGCAGGGCATTTGATACAGATGTGACTTTCAATCTTCAAAAAAATGAGATTTTGGCATAGCTTTGTATTATAAAGTCCAAGTGCAAGGAAATGACTTTTTGAAAAGGCTTGTCCATGGTTTTATTTCTCTCTCTCCCTGGGATTTTTTCCCTCATGCAACCTCAGACAGCCTCTAGAGCTTGGTTACTTTCTCTTGGAGATAATTTGTGGTGCTTAAAATGAATTTTAGGGTCTTATGCAAGATAGGGCCCATGCTGTGAATTAGTATCCTGCAGCTGATGCTGTGTAGTCCCACAGCGATAAAGTGAGTGAATGTTGTTGTCAAGCTGTTCTCAGGGGCCCTGCTTAAGCACACTGGATGGAGGTCAGAGGAGGCATGTGGAAGTGTGCAAATCCCTGCAAGTAATTGCATGTCCTCTGGTCTTTAGATGGATGCTGCTAATAGAAATGTGTATCCTGCTGCTTTCTAATGACTACTTTTCACCAGATGCCACTTTCGGACATGTAGGGGCAGGTTTGCTTTTGTTTTGCCTGAATTTAAAAAGGCCAATTTTTGGAAAATAGATTTTAAATCAAACAAGCCGTGACTCACAGTCATTTTTTTCTTGAATCATAAGTGTAAAAAGATGTCCTCCAAAAAGGATTCCACACCTCCACCTTCCCTTTTGATCATATCATGCTGCTACCGACAGTCTTTGCAAAAACATATTAGATCGTCTCTCTGTTAACCAATCCCCCCATGGTCCTCCTTCAGGGAAGTGTGTCCTCTTAATTGCCACGAAGGTAGTGTTGCTTGTTGAAAAGCTGTAAACCTCATCTTGAAAGCAATGGGGTGTCACTTAACATCAGAAATTACAAGCTTCAATCATAAACTGCTCAGCCATCTGAAAAATATTAGGATAATCATTTTTTCCTTGGGTAAAAAACAAACAAACCCAGTGAACATGCTTTTTTTTAATGGGCCTCTCTGAATTCTTGTTGCTCTGAATTGAGCAGCTGGATTGCAAAGCAAAACCAACGGCTGGAGGGAATTACAAAGTGAGATTACATGCGTATTTACACACAGACAAATTCGTTTTCATTGTTGCAGAATATAGCTTTAAATCGCATTTGTAGAGCAAATCATTGCTGTTGGGTAGATTTTATAAGATTCTCTTGGAGTAAGGAGTGAAAACCTCAAGTCAACTCTTGGAACAGTGCTAAGTTTTTTCGCCTGCTACATGAGAGGTGGAAAGTGTTGCTGACAGGTTTTGAGTCATATACCGCCACTGTATGTTGTTTTCTGTGAATCAGTTGTAAGTCTAATCAGTGTCACAGACCGCTGCTTCTCAGAAGACAAATGGGTCCTGGCATCACACTGAAACAGCTTTGACTCTCTCAGAATCACTCTCTCCAAACTTTGAATTTGAGAAGCACATCAATGTGTTGCCAAGACTCGAGTCAGCTGTGGTGTTACTTTTGTTTTCTATCATCATCTTTTAATTACTAATAATAACATGTGGCGTGAAATCACAAATCTGCGCAGCAAACTGCTGTTCTTCTTCCGGCTGAGCTCTGTGCTTAAAGGTTTATTCATGGAGCATGTATGTGATTAACCAATGAATCAGTCAAAAGAACACAAAACCAAATGTGTTTATAATCAACAAATTATTTGAGGATAATTTAAGGGAAAGCAGGAAACATGCTCTGGTACCAACTTTTCAAATGCAAATATTTACTGTCTAATATTATTACCGTTATGTTT